GGCAATGCAGTAGTGTGGACACATTAGTTGGTATTAGCATCTGTCGTCTATCTCTTATGTGCACAATTCGGTGTCCCCCCATTTCCTAATGTTATTATGGTGGTCATATATCCTTCCCGTATATCCGTCCCCCTACCCATGTCAGCGCGTAGGCCCCAACTAGCCCAAAATTAATCCCTCCCTATCCCTCCCCATCTCGGTAACCTACTAGGTGAGTTCCCTTTCCCAAGCAAACTCTTCTCTGTCTTTTTATAGTAATGGCCTCATACAGTACTTGTCTTTCTGCGATTGACTTATTTCACTCAGCATAATGTCCTCCAGGTTCATCCACATTGTGAGATGATTCGCATATCCCTCATTGTTTTTTAATGTGGCATAGTATTCCATTGTGTGGATATACGATAATTTGGTTATCCACTCATCCGTTGATGGGCATTTAGGTTGTTTCCATCTCTTTGCTATGTAAATTGTGCTGCAATGAACATAGGTGTACATGTCTGTTCATGCTAGGCAGCCATTGTTAAAGCCAAAGAGGAATCTCCCTGCTGAAGGGGCTCACACTCTCTCCGTCTTACTTTTCCAGTGGGCTTGCATCAACTGTCCTGCTCCCACATTCCTACCCACTCTTCTTGACCAAAGTCATCATGCCTCGTGGTCAGAAGAGTAAGCTCCGTGCCCATTAGAAATGTCGCCAGGCCCAAGGTGAGGCCCGGCTTGAGGCCCAAGGTGACACCCATGATCTTGAGGGTGCTCAGGCCACTACAGGAGAAGAGAAGGGGTCTCCATGCTCCTCTCCTCCTCTTGGGAGTTCTCCCCAGAACTGCCCTGCTGCTGGCTTTCCCCAGGGGCCTGAGAGAGTCCCACCCATCACCACTGATGCTGCCTGTGTGTCCTGCACAAGAGCTGGTGAAGGTACAGAGAGCCAAGAGGAGGGAAGTGCAAGTCCCTCTGAAGCCCCATTGCCCACTGAGAGCTCACAAAGAGATCCTCTCCGCAGGAGTGTGTGCAGGTTGTTGGACTTTCTGCTGGAGAAGTATAAAACCAAAGAGCCCATTTCCAAGGCAGAAATGATAAAGATCATCAACAAAAAGTTCAAGGAGCAATTCCCTGAGATCCTGAGGAGAGCCTCTGAATGCATTGAGGCAGTCTTTGGCCTTGACCTGAAGGAAGTCGACTCCAAGGGTCAATACTATGCCATTGTCAGCAAATGGGAAATTAGCAAGGAAGGGAGTCTCTGTGGTACCAGTGGGTATCCCAGGAATGGCCTCTTGTTGCTTCTTCTAGGCTTGATCTATGTGAAAGGCAAGTGGGCCACTGAGGAGAATATCTGGGAATTCCTGAATGTTTTGGGTGTCTATGATGGAAAGAGGCACGTAGTCTTTGGGGATCCCAGGAAACTCATCACCAAAGATTTGGTGGAAAAAAAGTACCTAGAGTACCAGCAGGTGCCCAACAGTGATCCTCCACGCTATGAATTCCTTTGGGGTCCCAGAGCCTATGATGAAGCCAACAAAACAAAAGTCCTGAAATTTTTGGCCAAGGCCAGTGATACGAAACCCAGTGCCTTTCGAGCCCTGTATGAAGAAACTTGGAGAGATAAGGAAGAGAGAGCTGCAACTGAGGATGGTCCTCTTGTCAGTGCCAGGGCCCATTTCATGGCAAAGTCCAGCAGGCCCTCCCCATCTCATGAAATTTGAGGAAGATTCTTCAAATTGTTTTTGAAAGCACTTTCTACCTTCAAAATAGTGGAGGAGAATCAGGGCTGGAGGGAATACA